AAGTGGGGTGCAGAAGTAAATAGGTCTAACGCTAGGTCTTAGTTTAGGGTCCCAGTTTTAGATTCTAAGGAACAGTAGTTAGCACTATACTGTGGACTTCTTTCCTCACATAACTGGGGTGTTCACAGAGTCCTTCTTCTTCTAGGTAGTATGAAGAAGACAACTCTTGGTTTAGTCTGTCTCCTGCTCAGCCCATGGCTGCTGGAGGGACAGGGTCAGAGAGTTGTGACTCCTTAGAATGCCAGGCTCCAGAAGGCGCAGGCTCGGCTGATGTGTGCAGCCCACCACTCACATTCAGCGCCATACTGGAAGTTGTAGCCACACGAACGAGGCAGGAGAAAGAAAGGACATACAGCAAATTTTCTGTAGTTATCAGCAGCATGATGTTAGCAGAGAAAAGCCTAAAGACCCCATTATGCAGTGCCGGAAAATCCAAGGCATTTTCCTTGCCTCTGGAATCACAGTTGCAGGTCCTGGCCTGCACTGTCTTCCTGAGCTGACGCAGGAGGGGAGACTCTTGTCTGCTCTGCCAGCAGCATCCTCCTGTGCCCTGTGTGCCCAGACAGCCTGGAAGGGGGGCAACACCCAGCCCTCGGGGTGGGGCTGCAGGCCTTGGAGGCCCTGCTCAAGGCCTGGGTGACTGGTGGCTGCAGCATTGGCAGGGAAGTGCGGGGCTGCCTGTGGCCAGGCTCCAGCTTGGCCAGCATCAGCATGGACTTCTAGCTGCTCCTGCACCCTGGGTGCCCCTCAGTACACCAGGAGAGGGGTGATGTGGGCGGAAGACCACCATGAGTGCCAGCTCTCCTGCTACCACAGATACTGGCAGAAGGACTTTGGAAGCACACGTTTACCATTAAACACAATAATGCACACATTCTGGAGGAGAGCAGAAATTGAATTCTTCCTCGGCATGGTAATGCCTGCTGTCGTTCCTGCAGCTACTTTAGCGGCTGAGGCAGCAGGACAACAAGTTGGTGGCCAACCTAGGCAATGTGGTGAGGCACTGCCTCAGAGCAACAAAAACAAAACTAAAAGGAGGGCTGGGGATGTAATTTAGTGGTAGAGTATCTCTGGGTTCAATCCTCAGTGCCTCAAAAACATTTTTTTAGAATTTTAGGGTTGATTTCATTTGTGTTTTGTGTGTGTGTGTGTGTGTGTGTGTGTGTGTGTGTGTGTGTTTCTTATGGATTAAGATACTGAACACTGTTAATGTGTTTACCAGACACCTGTCCTTTTCCTAATGGTGTTCATTTGTTTCAGTTGCTCATCTTTTTGACTGGAACTTTTACTTTATTTATTATTATTTTTTCATAATTTTATTGAGAAACAAATAGCAATGAGAGAATTTCAAATCAAATTGGTAGGCAGTTTCAATAATTAACACATTGCATACATTCTTCCTAGTGGTTAATTGCTGTGCAAGATGCGGACATGGTATCCTATTTACAAACACCATTAGAGAGACGAGGAAGAGGAACCGGCCGAGGAGGACTGCCCTGAGTTGGTTCCCATTGAGGCGAAGGAAAGAGAGGAAGAGGAAAAGCTTGGCCCCGGCGCCAAGATCCCAGTCACAATCATCACCGGGTATTTAGGTGCTGGGAAGACAACACTACTGAACTACATTTTAACAGAGCAACATAGTAAACGAATAGCAGTTATTTTAAATGAATTTGGTGAAGGAAGTGCAGTAGAGAAATCCTTAGCTGTGAGTCAAGGTGGAGAGCTCTATGAAGAGTGGCTGGAACTTGGAAATGGTTGCCTCTGCTGTTCAGTGAAGGACAGTGGCCTTTGGGCTATTGAGAATTTGATGCAGAAGAAGGGGAAATTTGATTACATACTGTTAGAGACCACTGGGTTGGCAGATCCTGGTGCTGTGGCTTCTATATTTTGGGTTGATGCTGAGCTAGGGAGTGATATTTATCTTGATGGTATCATAACTGTTGTAGATTCAAAGTATGGATTAAAACATTTAGCAGAAGAAAAACCAGATGGCCTCACCAATGAAGCTACTAGG